GGAAAGAAAGCCCTTCCCAAAGCTGGTTTTAACCGACACTTAATAGGACTGTGCCTGTCCCTGGTTTTCGTGACGTGCAGTATTTCCAAACAGCCAAGTCGAGTTACCTTCTTTCAGTCAGTTGGCTGGCAGTCCACAGCAACCTGCCAGGGAGGGGCAGCTCTCAGTCAGCTTAAGCCACATAAATCTTTGGTCACTCCACTCCTCGTCAGATATCTCATTGAAAAAAAACAAAAAAAACTGTAAAACTTAAGAATGGGATGACAGAATCACTTTGCAGCCTATGTAGAAACTGTAGTAACCCAATGTAATTTATCAAGACTGATTATTTTCAAACTTTTAAAAGATTTCTAATATAGGCAACTTTATTCATTCTAATTTTAGGTAATTTATGAAGTTTATGTGAAGATACTTAACTGAAATAAAACAAAACTTAAAACACGACATTGGCAGTCGGGTTGAAAGCAACTATTTTTCCTTTTTCAGTGTCACTAAAAAGTCTCATAAGCAGCACACTACCTACAGATGTCAATGAAATGGCCATCCCCTTATTTGTAATGTCTATCAGGTTATCTAGGACACAGAGTGTGCTGAAACTATGTGTCAGTGGTACAAAAAGTACCAGGGCTGAACGGATGTGGTAACAAATGTTCTGAACACCAGGCAGCAACCACCTGATTGACAAACAGTAATAATATCCATGCATAGTGTTCACCTGAGTGACAGCCCAAATCGTGATTTTTCACCTGAGTCTTACCAAGGAGCTAGTAATGAAAATGAAAACTTTTCACCAAATGCCACATAAACCAGGACCAACGGTTTTTATATGGGATTCACGTTTGTGCTGTTATTTTGAAAATGTTTCCATCTTGGATTTTAGAGTATTTCTGCCACATCTGCTGTAACACAAAACAATAATCCATACTGACAAAGATTAAACTTGTCCTTATGTTATTAGTATTTCTGAGGTGCTAATCCGTTATTAAGCGGGTCATTGTCATTTAAAACAGGTTGTTAAACATAGGATCCACAACACCTGAGTCAAAGTGGCAACAATTTTTCATAAAACATTTCCAGAGCCAATTAGATCCATAAAGATGTGTGTTTATGTGTCCCTGCCCAGGATTGGTTTTGTGAGACAGGCGTGTCAACACTGAAGCCCTGTCACTGATTTGCCACAGTAATTCTATGATATTCTGACATATAAACTGATAAGACTCAAACAAAACTTTGGAAGTTCTTCACAGTCAAATAGTTTGACTTTCTAAATAAAACAATACCCAGGTTTGTATTTCTGAATGTGATCACTCTCACATGCCTTTCCTGACCTTTCACCTCCTTTTTCTTAAAAAAATAAAAATAAAAAAATAAAAGAAACAGGAAGCAAGAGCTTTACCTGCAGAGACCGGTTTAGCCCGAATGCAAGTGCCTGAGCAAGAGAAAGATTGTAAAAGTGTGTGCATAACTGAGCTTTGGCAAATAGATCTTTTCATTATGCTCCCAGATCTCTAAAGCACATTACATTCCTTGTTTCATCTCTAATGATATAATAGTCTTGTAATGTTTCGTTGGGTTACGGCTTTGTACCAGCTTTAATTAGGGCACTCCTTCTCACATGGATTAAAGGATCTTTGCAGTACTTGTTGTTTCATGTGCTGCCATCCCGTACAGCCTTTAGTGAGACAACAAACTAGCCGGATTTGGCAGACAGGTCTCCCTTTTTAAAGGGCGTCCTCTGAAGCTAGTCATGACTTGAACAATAGGACTTCGTTTTGCTTGTCAGGCCGGGAGGAATGCTCACCATTCATCGGTATGCAATCAGGCAATTACTCTCGCATACGTCAGCAGCCAAGTGTTTTCAGCAGCGAACGTGGAAGGTACCAGTAAATGAGCCTCGCTGGAACTGCTTTGTTGAGTTCACTGTTTGTCAAAAAGGTGTTGTCAATTTCCTGCAAAATGAGTCACACGGGGATCCTGAAGAGGACGGATAAGATGTCTTAAATTTCCTGGCATCTAAGGTCAGCAATAAAAGGAAAGTTTGAGAAACTGCTAAATCAAGGAACCCATTATTCCTGCAAACGGTGCAATGCATATGATATCTCTTGTTATCCAACGCACTGATCATCAATTCCTTGTAACATTCTTTAGACAAAAAAAGTTGTGTTTTTTTTGTTTGTTTTGTTTTGTTTTTTTTTTCTTGGCAAAAATGGTTAGGATTTTATAATTGCATACCAATGCTGTTTGAAAAGTCCAGTTTTCAGAAACTAAAAACTGTTGAGCACGCTCAAAAGATGAAACTGCGGCCGGAAGCCGGTGCAGCACAGCAGGTTCCTAAAAAACTACTTCTGGTAAAACAAGCAGGCGAGAAAGGCTGACTCACACAGTAAGAAGTTCACTCCCTTATGGAAACTAGGCAGATCAGCTGCACTGAAACAATATTAGGTTTCTGAAACTCTTAATCAATAATATCCAGTTTGCTTAGATTAATAGGTTTCATGTTTACTTTCATGCAAAAGGACTCTTGAGTAATAATGCATTCAAATAGTTTCTCTGGAGTTTCACCTCCTTTTAAGAAACATTATGAAACCCATACAGAGTTTTTTTTATTAGAAGGTTAATAAGAGCTCAGTAAGCTTGTTTGGTTTTCATGACACTTTGCACAACATTATCTTTAGTGCAATGCAGTGTTTGCTCTATGAGACAGTACTCAATAGGCATTGTCTGGTCTCCAGTATTAACTGAGGTTAATGTTTTAAAAATACCATTTATAGATTTTAAAGTCAGCTTAACAAGATGGAAGGCAAGAGAGATTTTATCTGTCTTTATGGAGCATATTAGATCCTTTGTCTCCATAATGAGACACAACATCAGAGACGTCTTACCTGGTTTAAAAAGAAAAAGAACTGGACTGTTGTGCAATGGTCTAGAGTCCTGTTTTCAGATGACGGTCAATACGCCATTTCATTTGAAAATCAAGGTCTTGGGGTCTGGAGGAAGAGTGAAGAGGCACAGACTATTGACCCAACTAAGCATTGAGTGAATAAAAATGAACATGCGTTTCACAAGCAAGACATTTGTGCTTAAAAGGACAATTTTTAAAATGGTCTAATGTGATATTCTAATTTCTGAGATATAGAATTTGGGTTTTCTTTACCTGCAAGTCATAGTTAGGGCTGGATTTACAAGGATTTGGACACACAGGCTGGAGCCAGCTTTGGTGCCCTATGTTTTAAAGAAAAAATATTTTACTAATGCAAACTACATGTATGAAAAGATGTTTGGTAGGTTTAATATTTCCCCTGTTCAACAGGTCCATATTTAAATCAACCGTAACTTTATAAATTTCAAATACCTGAATATTGTTTTTCGTCATAAGTATCCCAATAATATTATTACAACTCACCTAATATTGGCCTATGCATTCTATATGGAATACAATGTTTGCAAAACATGCATTTATTAAAAGAAACTAAAAGGAACAATTTTTTGAGACTCTCCTAAAAAAAATAGGGGCCCTGCACTGTTGTCACAAATTATAATCATTAAAACTGCAAAAAAATAAAAACTTGAAATATTTTCATTCTATGTGTAATAAATCTATACAAAATGAAAAGAAATATTTCACATCTATACAATATTCAAATATTTGGGATGCACTAGAACAGTGGTTCCCAACCGTACCCTCAGGCCCTACATGTTTTAGATATGTCTCTGTTCCAGCACACCTGATAGAAATGATTTCATGACCTCCTCTGCAGGCCATCTGATGCTGCTGAAGCCTGTTAATCATCTACTTATTTAAGTCAGGTGTGTGGGAGGAAGGAGACATGTAAAACAGCAGAACAGAAGAGCTTGGGAACCATGAATAGTACCTCATTCATAATCACATATACAAGTATATGTGACTATGGAGAAGATGAAACTATGCTATCAGACATATAGAAATGAAAGAGTTCAGCTGATTAACATTCTTTATTAATTGAAAATAAGATTAAATTCCATTGAAATATTTCACAGAAGTTTAATATCTTATAGTTCTCCAGCTTTGATAAATTATCTCAGATTGGATTGTTTATTAAAAGAATATGTTTGTTTTTTTTAGCATCCTTTAAGGCCACATTTAAGGTGTGGTAAGGTGTGGTTTAGCTAAAAGCCATCAGAGAAGAAAATAAAAAAAAGGTCTGAGGAGGACTAGGGTTGGGAACCAATGCACTAGAACAGGGGTCCTCAAATTCGGCCGTGTCCTGCAACTTTCAAACGTCTCCCTGGATTCACACCTTAATCAAAAGACTGAATCGTCTCAGTGTCCAGTCAAGTTCTCCATAGTCCTGCTAACGACCTCATTATCTGATTCATGTGTGTTACAGCAGAGACACATCTGAAAGTTGCAGGATACTGGATCTTGAGGCCTATGCTACAATAGTACAGGGCTGCCTTTATATACAGTACATATATTCCCAGATGTATTTTTCGCCAAGACACGTACAAATGTGCATTTTTAATCGTTTATAACTTGCTGCATTATGACATTGGAATTAAAAGCCCCCCACACACACACTGTTTGCAGCTTCTATCTGCGGCCACCAGACGACTCTGTGTACGTGCGGTTGAAGCGAAGCTCCGCCCCCGGCAGGTTAGGGGGCGGAGCCTAGCGGTGAGGCGCCGGGGCAGCCAGGCAGAGCGTCTAACGCTGCGGCTGAGCTCACTTCTGCGCCTTTTCTGTCCTGTCCTGGATACAAAGAGAGGAGATGAAAGACAGAGCATGAGAGCGACGAGGGAAACAGCAGGGGGATACCAGCGACCCAGGTCTGGGCACGGATACTACTTCTGGTACTAGCTGAATCTGGAGCTTCGGCCGATGTACACAATGGATTTTGACCACGAAAGAGTGCCGCAAACGGGGGAAGAGGGGTGGACTTTGTCGCGCAGGTAGCGTATTATTCGTTTTAGCCTCGGAGAATAAAGAAGTATCGTCTTTGGGGAAGCTAGTTAATGGGGAATTTAAATAGCAGCAGCAGTGCTTCTCTTATAACCATTTCGCCCCCCGTCCCCCTTTTTTTGTTATCCTTGCGCTTGTAAAATCTGATAGTTCTTCACCGGAACGAAAGTTGCTTTTCGGCCTGTGGAGTAAAATCTCCTCGGTGTTTTGTGCAGTAGCTGCCTGCCCTGTGTGTGTGTGTGTGTGGCTGTGTCAGCTGGAGCCTACGTGCGAACTTGCTCGGGCAGTGATGTAAAGCGGCACGTAGTCGGCGGGGCCCGCGTATCGGACTCCCGTGATCAAAATATAGTCCCGGGGGAGGCTGAGTGGGGGTTTTGTTACACTCCTGATTTTATCGCTCCTGTGCGGATACGCAGCTGTAATTTGCAGGCATGACGTTAGCCGGAGAGCAAAAGGACTTAACGGGGAAAAAAGGGGACGTGTTCTCGTTTGACATGATTAATCTGAGGCTCAACTTCCCTGCAGCGGGATTAGGTAATATTTTTCCGCTTCGATCGGCCAACCTTTCCTGCTTCCCCAACGAGAATCGGTGTAACAGGCTGTTTAGAGGGACTGATGTGTTATGCGGCTGCTGCGGTGTTGTTCCTGTTTTTAATGTGCGGGGTCAATCTGGGATCACTTTCCGTAGATAGAGGGGGTTTCGATTCAGCATACAGGCGGCGGAGGTTTTCCTTCCCAGGAAAGGAAAGCCAGGGAGTGTTTGGCATAATAGCTCGCCCAAGCAGCATATTAATCTCTGCGATGACTTCACCTTGGAAACTGAGATTACAGGATTACGGCTGTTATCTTTGATGACTACCTCATTCTCTGTTTCTCTTCCAGGACCGTCCGGGCTTAGCAGGAGGACATGGGTAAAACTTTGCACATTCTCCAGAAATCCGCAGAACGTGTGCCGACTGCAATCTCGCTGGATGTGAGTTTAAATATGGACGAAGCGGAAGATTTCACGGAGCAGCCGATCGTTGGGCTTTCGGACAAAATACCTCTAGTGAAACCCTATTTCAGGAAGAAACAGAGGAAATTGGACCACAAATGCCTCCAACGCTCCCTGGATCCGATACTGACTAGTTTATTGAGCACGGATACTCTGGTGTCCGGGGATGGGGTGTTTGTTCCCCGCAGCCAGCCGGGCAGAACTCCGGGCACCCTGTGCGCGGCGGCGGTGGTGAAGCAGAGCTGCGTGGGGCAGGTGTGTCTCAAAGACCCGGGAGCCGCCGAGAATGCAGCGGCTGCGACCGGAGTCCAGGGGTTGATGAGCCGGGACGTCGACGTGGAGATAGCCGATACTACTGCGGAGCTAGAGGAAACGGAGCGACCCCAGCTGAAAGCTGGCCTCCGAGCTGCTGAGAGCACGGAGACAATCCCACCCTCAGAGAGGGATATACCTCCCATAGTCACACCCCAGGTTCCTCACCAGGAGGGGAGCATCATCAAAAGCAAAGACCTCCTAACCTCTGGCGCTAAAAGTGTTTCAGTGAAAGACTCCTCTGCAATCCAGGATCCCCGCTCCCAGCTCCTGCAGCCAGACAAAGGGGTGCTGTTCCAGAATAAAAGCGAAGAGGCCTCCCTGGATCTAGTGTTTGAGCTACTCACTCAGCTCCAGTATCACACGCACCAGTCGGACTCTGTAGACATTTGTGTGGATTTCCTCCAGGGACGGTGTGTTTTTGGGAACGACTGTGCCCACCACCACACCGTGCTGCCCTACCACTGGCAGATCCGCAGGAGCAACACTCAGACATGGCAGAGCATAGCAGACGATTCCCAGGAGCAGCTGGAGAGACTGTACTGCAACCCAGACCAGGAACA